TTGGGAAGATATAAAGTTAAAATGTTTATTGTTTGTTTCTACAAAGTGGGGGAGAAAACTCAAAAGGTTAATTTTGCTGCTGCTAAGATGAGAAGTTAAGAAGCTGCTTTTATGGCTTGAAAGAAAGGTATGAAGATAAAACTGAGAATTTCTTTAGAAGTCTATATATGATTTTTTTCCTTTCTATGTTATAATGTTATGTAGAAATACACTGTAAAAATGAGTATAGGGATATTTAATACTAAGATATATTGTAAAAAATTAAGGTTTTAATAATTTAATACTAAGATGTATTATAAAAAATTATTAAAGTATTATTGATTTAATGCTAAGAAAAATGACTTAAGATTTTTTTTTATTAAACTATACTGGATCTTGTTACAGTGAGGTAGACGGTGGAAAGTATGATATACATGACAGTTACTGACGTAGCAATGTTAATGAATACTGATGTAATAATGATGGGATATATTGTAATTTAGAGGAAAAATTAAGCCAGCTGAATATTAATTGGCTATTTTTTAAAAAGAAAATTTACCCTAAATGAATGTTTGTAGTAAGTAGGAGAATTTGGTACAGAGTGTGGATCTTAACCTAAGAAAGATTATCCCAACTCAGTACTCTGAAGACCAAGACAAGCAGGGAAAGAGAGACTTTGCCAATAAACTGAGACAAAGTAACAGGGTCGCATCAGAGCCCGCTCTCCAGGACATGATGTTAAAAGAAGATAACCAGTATGCTTAACTTGTAGTGACCTATTGGGTCTCCTTGATGTGGGGAAGTGGGAAACATCAGAACTCCTTTTCAAGAACTTAATGCTAAAGGAAGCTGGAGAGTATGATCAACTTGTGGTGATTACCTGGGTCCACTTAAAGAGTCGAAGTGGGAGATATGTAGTAATGAAGAGACAGGCTGACTTTTGACTTGTTCCTTCAGTACAATCCTAGTACCTAGCATGATAAACGGATAAATGAAGAAGGCTTACTGGTTTGTGGAGCAGGGAGTCTTAAGGATCCCTAATGTTCTGACTTAGCCTATGTAGAACTACAGTTGAATGAAGGGCCCAGACAGTCTGAAACAAAGAAAGAAATGTGGACTCCTCAGTTAGCTGCTGATGTGCATTTGGACACAGCCATGGATGGTTGGAGATGTGTTGACCAAAACCCAACCAGATGAAGACAAGCTATTTCCTTCTGTGAGCTACTGTTGATTAACTGATGGTTTGCTCTGGACTGCACCTTTGTATACACATGCATATGTTCAAAGCTTCAACTGTACAAGAAGATTCTTCAGCGAATAAGACAGGCTTGTTTACTCATAAACTGGTTTGACAGTCATGGGCAAATCAGAAACTGACTATCTAAATGGGCAGATTAAGACTTAACAAGTGAAGCAGCTGGCTTACATACTTCCACGCATATAAATAATGGTAAAAGGGAAGTTGATCCATCATATAATGAGAGATAATGGCTAGAAAAGGCAGGTGGTGGTCTCTGGTGTCAGAAACCTGGAGAAGTGACTTTCCTATCCATTGTGTGAACCCCATCCCTCTAGCTATCTTAACTGCAAGACACACAGTCTTAAAAATCATCAACAATCGTGGGACCAATATAGGAGAGAGAACTTTCCAGAATGTGTGAGGAACTGTGAAGACACTGTGAGAGACAGTGGAGGAAAGAGAGGGAAGAGCCTCTAGCATCACTGTGAAATAACTGTGGGAAAATGTAACTAGAGGTACCTTGGAGATGGAGCCACAGTTTATGATGATTCAATAACTGCTCAGAGATAAAGTTTGTTGGACTAATTGAGAAAACGAGAGTATTTATTTGTGCTGCTGAACTGAACCAAGCTTTTGACTTATTGACTGAGAAGCAGTCTGAACTAATTAAGGAAATGTGTCTTGCTGTTCATCTGGCTTGGGACTGCTAGACTAAACCTGGACTTGCATTTTGTGATATTGTTGGCCTCCCATACTCCCCAACCTACTTCCCTAATACATGCCACAACTGTGAATAAAGTCCATGAGAAAAATTGCAATGAATATTGGATCAAATGATTCATAGAAATAGGTGTAGAAGGATGGCAGGTGGCATGCTTAACTGTGTTGTTATCTGTATGGTACTATGGAAATTGACAAAATTGGTATGTCATCAACTCTTGGGGCCATGTTTTATGCATATTCCTTCAGAGTAGCTTGAACTTCCTCCTTCATCACCACAGACTCATGATAATATGCTATTTTATGAAATTCTTCTGTGTCAACCAATTCTTTTTGGTATAGTGACTCTGTGTACTCCTTCTATCTTCTTGTGATGCTTCCTGGGTAATTCAACATTCTGTCCACAGCATCCTTTATTTATTACAACTTGAGGTTTGAATTTGTTCTTCAGTTCCTTCAGCTTAAGAAATGTTGAGTTTGTCCCTTTTGATTTTCCAACTCCAGCTTTTTGCACATTCCATTATACTAACTTGCTTTGTCTTCCCATGCTGCTCTATAAATCTTCTCTTCAGCTCCTAAGATCTTGATTTTTTTCCCTTTGCTTTGTCTTCTCGGCATCCTAGGGCAATACTCAGAGTCTCTTCTGTATCCATTTTGGTCTTTTCTTCTTCCTCTCTTTATGTAATAAAGATATTCACAAAAAACAAGGCCCAAGGAACTGACAGCATATCAATTGATATATTTCAACAAACAGATGTTAACCTGGACACACTTATCAGGTTGTGCCAAAAAATCTGGAGGACAACCACCTGGCGAATGGACAGGTAAAGATACATATTTATTCCCATTCCAAAAAAAGGTGACCTGACAGAATTATCAAACGGTATCATTAATATCACATGCAATTAAGAGCTTGCTGAAAAATACCCAAAACCAACCAGAACAGCACATGAAAAATGCCGAGATATGCAGGCTAGGTTTAAAAAGGCCCTAGACCTCTTTAGAAGTGGCACCAGGGACATTAAAGCCAAGTTTAGATGGATCCTAGCTGAAAGCAGAGTGTATCAAAGGAATTTGTATTTGTGTTTCATTGACTATGCAAAGGCATTTGATTGAGCAAATCACAACAAACTATGGCTAATTCTGAGAATAGGAATCCCAGAACACCTGACAGTGCTTATTTGAAATCTATACTTAGACCAGGAGGTAGTTCTCAGAACAGAGCAAGGCAACACTTCATGGCTCAAAATTAGGAAATGTGTATGCCAGAGATGCATCCTATCTCCTTACTTTTTCAATCTTTATGAAGAACAGATCATCCGAGAGGGTGAGTTCTATAACTAGGAGTGTAACATCAGATTTGGGGGAAGATTTATCAACAACCTTCATTATGCAGATAATAAAATCTTGCTTGTTGAAACTAAGAAGGACCTGAAGCATTTGTTGCAGAAGGTCAAGGACTGCAGCCTTCAATATGGATTGAAGATCAACATCTAGAAAACAAAGATTCTCACCACTGGGCCAACTGGCAACATCATAATAGACGGTGAAGAGACTGAGATTTTTAACAGCTTTAGCTTGCTTGGTTCCACAATCAACATTCCTTGTACCAGCAGCCAGGAAATTAAAAGACATATTTCCTTGGGAAAGTTTACTGTCAGAGACCTCTCCAAAGTATTGAAGAGCAATGATGTTACTCAGAAGACTAAGATGCACTTGATACAGGCCATGACCTTTGCAATCCCTTGCTATGTAGACAGCCAGACAATGACTAGGGATGATAGAAGGAGAAATGATGACTTAGAGCTGTGGTGTTGGAGAAGAGTACTGACTATTTGATGAACTGCTAGGAGAACAAGCAAGTTCATCCCAGAGAGGTTGAAACCAGGCTGCTTCTTGGAGGGAAGCATTTTGAAACTTCGTCTGCATATTTTGGGCATACTGCAAGAAGGGAACAATCCTTGAAGAAGGACAACATGCTTAGAAGGGTGGAGGGACAGTACAAGAGATAAAGACCCTAGAGGAGATGGCTTTAATCAGTGATTGGGGTAACGGGAGTAGGTATGCCAGAGACAATAATACTGACTCACGAAAGAACAGAATTCAGATGTTGTACATAGAGCACAAAACCACAAAATGGGTATTTGATGGGGGTAGTTCCAATTCATGAAGTAGGAAGACGTCAGCCTCAACACCCTCACATTGCAATTGCTTCTTTTGTACATATCAAATTAACAAAGGTAAGTCTAATAAGATGAAGAAATGGAAATGATCAAAGAATTTAGGAGAGTACTGATAGGTTAAAGTACAAAAGTAGTTCTAAGGAGTAGTAGAGAACAAAATCATTTTCAGAGCAAAGTTAAGGAAAAGGAGGACCCAGAAAAATATCACGTAGCTAATTTCTTATTTTAAGGGAGACAAAAAGTCAGAGGGTATATAGTTCGGTTGTTTTTAAGATAGAATTATACCTTGAGTGCATATTGTTATTAGCCACTGTGACAGAATCAACTCATAGCTGACCCTCCAGTGGGTTTTCAGAGGCAATAAATCAGAGAGGAGAGTGCCATCTTTCTGTCTTAGAGCAGTTGGGGCATTTCAACCTTTGGCTTGGCTGTGCAGCTCCTTACCACTAGGCCCTGCAAGCTCCCTCATAATGTAGTAGAGAAAGGAAACGACTACAAGAGTAAAAGAGCAGATGAGAGAAAAAAATAAAATGCAGCAAAGAAAGAACTACAGGCACAAAAGAGCAGATGAAGGAGAATGGAACTGAACAAAAACTGGGTTGGCTCTGATCAGGAGTATATGATCAGAGAGATAGGCAAGTGAGCAGATATGACAAGTTCCAGTTAGATCGAACTGGTAAAAGGACTCTATCCTTCTACTGAATAATCTGTTTTCCACTCTTTATCATTTCCCTTACATTGAGTGTTCATTTTGTCACTAGACTCTGGAAAAAAGGGTTGGCAGGTTGAGCTAACCACACAATGCAGGCTAGAGTTGATACTGATTGTGCAATCCCTTCTAATCTGCAGTAAAGTGCAACAGAAATAACTTATCTTACCTATTTCGCTTCCACTTCCTCCATCCTGAACACTCCACAAGATGATGCTGCTCTCTGAGGCAACAGCAACCATTTTGTCTTTGTCTCCATGTGGACCTCCAACAACTTTTGCATTTAAAGCCACCCGTTCAATAGTCCAGTCCAAATAAGGGCTTGTAAACACCTGCTGCCATCCTGAAGATTCTTTGATTCTGTTAAGAGAAAACAGACACAAAAGCTAGACTCAGGAACAACTAAACAAGTAAGAATACAAATAAAATTCCACTAAAAGATAAAACACTACCATAGGCTACTACTCATAGCTACTATCCACTTTTTTATTTATTAAAATTGACATACACTATCTACAAAGTAAAAATATAACAGAATATAGATATATAATTTTAAAAGATAATGCAAAGAAACTCACAAAAGCTAATTTTGTTGTTTTAAAGCTTAAAAAAAATTTGCCTTTTTTGGTTCATTTCCTATGCACAGGAATAAGTCAATAAAAACCAGATCTAGGGATTTTACAACACAACTTCTAACATTCAATCTATTTTGATATGGTCCTAGAGATGTCAGTGTATCGTAAACTAATTCGGCATAATAGGCATATTCCAGTATCTCGTAGTAAAACTCAAGGAATAAAAGAGCATCTTTAGGAAACCTACTTTGAAGAATGGTTTTTTAAATGGCTAAATGCAAAATCTTATGAGATCCTTCATTCCACATTAAAAGGTGGAGCTAAAGGATACAGGCTTGCCGCATATGAAGTATAAAAATTACTGAGCTTTTAGTTCATCTTTTTAAAAACTATGCTTTGAAATGTTTCATTTTCTTGCCTTATTTGAAGTGAAGTCTTTCAGACATGTTTCTATGGAATTATACAAGTCCCCATACACTTAAAACTTAAACAGTGGTATAATTTATGATAATGAATAATTTGGATTTTAACTACGGGATAGGTATCTACAGATCTACTGGGGTGAGATGGTATATCATTGTGGTTTTGATTTTCATCTCTCTATTGCCATTGATTTTTAGCATTTGTTCATGTGTCTGTTGGTGACCTGAACGTCTCCCTTTGTGAAAAGTCTTTCCATATCTTTTGCCCATTTTGCAACTGGATCATCAGTCTTTTTTCCTCTGGAGATCCATTATTATTCTATAAACTTTTGTTAGGAGACTCTTGCCTGAGATGGTATTGTCAAATGTTTGTTCCCACCCGGTAGGCTTTCTTTTCATCCTGGACAAAGAATATTGAGTACACTACAAACTGCAAAAGAACATACATCTCTGTCTTGGAGTAAGTGTAACCAGGTGTTCCTTAGAGGCAAGAATGATAAAACTTAAGTCCCCATACTCTGGGCATGTTTTCAGGTAGTGCCAGTCCTTGGAAAAAGACATGGTACTTGGAGGTCAGAGAGAGCTCTGCTGGCCTAGTGGATAGAAAGTTACGCTACCAACCCAAAGGTGGGTGATTTTAATCTGCGGTCCTCAGGACTGGTTTTAATTATTTTTGGTCAAACATTCTTCTAAGTGGCATAGCACTGGTCTGTCCATTTGCTGTACTGAGGTAACTCATGGTTGCTGTGATGCTAAACATTGTGATACTGATGTGTCAAATGCGGTAATGGTTACCCGTGGTGGACAGTGTTTGGTGGAACTCCCAGATTAAAACAAGCTTGGAAGCAGGAGTGGCATCCACCTCCAAAATAGCTTGCCTCCAGAAACTCTATGAACTTGGAGAGATGATGAAAGTTATACAAGCATTCATGTCCTTCATTCATAGGATCACTATGAGTCATCTACGATTCAATGGCACTTAACAACAACAAAAACAAAAACACAGATAAATAAAGCAAGCAAAATTATAAAGCTTCTCTTATAAAGAACAAATACAGATGATATCAAGTGTTCTCTTATATACTACCTATAAAGCAATATTAAAAGAATTTATCAGTTTTGTCTAAGTATCATATGGCTTATAATTGCCCTCTTCAGCCATCAGATGAGATTCGTATGTCAAGATAAACAAATGGAGATAATTACCTAATAAATTCCAAAACTGACACTGAGAAATAAAATACTTTTATAAGATAATCAAATTGGGATTTTCAGTACTTCAGGTATAGTGCCAACAAGCTGCTTTGTAGATGCACACATATAATGAGACTCCTACTTTAAAAAGAGTTATTGAGTTCATTTAATAGTATGAATGTTATAATCTGGGAGTCATTAATTCAGGAATATAAATAATAATAGGTACTCCAACAGTTAACAGACATCATAGGTATAAATTAATTTTTTCTACAGCTATTAGTGTATTACAAAATAATAGGACATGAAAACACAGAAGAATCACAACAGTGTATTTCAAAATTATTATAACAATTATAAATTTTTACTCATTAAGATATGAGACCAACAAAGAATGTTATTTTGCCAGGCTTTAAAGAACAAAAGATGATCAGTACTACAGAAAATCATGGGATTCACATTAATGATCCTAATTCAGCCATTTAATAGATTAGGCAATTGATTCAGAATAAAAATAACAATAAGGGAGAATTATGGTGTAGTTCTTAGGGAGCTGCACTGCTAATCTAATGGCAACTCGTTCGATTGTTTCCGAGGTGATTTATAGCCTCTGAAAACCTGCAGGAGGGTCAACTCTGAATTGGCTCCGAATTGATAGCAACGACTTCTGCGTTATCTCAGTCACACTACAGTTTATACTATCTGGGAAATATTAAAGACATAGTAAGACTATGAGCAATATTCACTTAATTAGCAATGAAAATAAAAGCTTATTAAATATCATTAGGATATACTCCAAAATCCAGACTCACTGACCTCACGTTGATTTCAACTCATGATAAGGCAGATCAGAACTGCCCCAATGAAGAAACAGACTGTCTCATTTTTCTCTGACAGAGTAGCCGGAACTTTTAAACTACCACACTTTTGGTTAGCAGCCAAACGCATCACTGCTCCACAGACTTAACTAAGTTAAACGATATGGAGCAAAACTACTTGGTTGGGAGAGTCAAGGGTGGCTAAAATCATATAATGTTCTGCAGTTTCCAGTTATCTGAGCTTTATTATTCAAAACTGTCTTTTTTACCCAAAAGATTAACTGTAAGTTTTATGTTAAATTAATTATTTTATTAAGGAGAGAAGATGTTATGTGGATGGGCGGGAATATGCAAACAACATGTGTTAGCCTATCCACAACAGGATTGGCCAGTCTCAACAATCTACAAGGATACTGGCTGGTCTTGCCAATAAACTGAACAGCTCAAGCCACAGAAATACATCATCCCCCACCAATGAAGAGGAAAGAGACCTCATGCCACCACCAGAGAGGAAATCTCACCACCAGGAAAAGAGCAGCCATGGATGAAATGAAAACCTGATGTGAGATAAGCCTGCTGGTGAGTGGGAGAAGCCAATACTGGCAGAACTGAGAACTTTATTGGACAGCTAGGGGGCAGTGGGGAAGCCAATATTGGCAGGATTAAAACCTTGAGAAAGAACACCAAGCTATGAGGCTGTAGGAGAAGTTGCCTGCATTCACATTTTGGAAACTGCCTTGACTACATTGCTATTAATCTAGATTATAACCTTTTGACTTCCCCAATATGGTTCTATGTAGTCTGTGAGCTATCACATCAGATTCTGAACCTCTAGCAAAGCAGTAAAACTCCAGTTGAGAAGAGCAGAAAAAGGTAGGGGACATGGGGGTGGGGGAGCATGTCTGACCTCATGTCTGAGCATGTCTGATGCTGTTGACAGAGACAGTTCCCCTTTGTGAAGTTGGTAAAGGTCAAGCCTGGCTCTCCTTACACAGTCCTTGCTCTTTTTACGGTTTCTGGTGGAACATTGCCAAACAAGCTATTGGACCATGGCCAGGGCCCATATGAGGTAAAGACTCGCGTGAAGGTCAGAGGCCAGCCCTTATCCAATCAGAGCTGAGATCTGTGTGTTGTCTTATAAGGAAGTCTCCAGTGCTTCCTAAGTCTGACATGGGCAGTAAGAATTATCCCCAAGCAACCAAATAAATAACTAAGTAGGTGGACACATAACATGTAATCACTACTTCATGAACAACTGTCAACAACAGGAACCTACAGGAACATCATTCCATTGGTCCATACACCACTATCCTTCATTTACATAAAATCCGTTTCAACAGATTACATAAGCACCCAGTGTCTCATAATCCATTGTCCTCTCAACTTTCCTTTCCATGACCTCTTCCTCTCTCTGAAACAAATTTTTGCTAATAAACTGCTTTTACTTTCACTCTTGCCTATTCATCTTCTTTCTCAGGAGGTCTGACATTCCTGTCCTTAAAGACTCTTGAATGACAGGATTCTGATCACACACCTCTTGCTGCAGCAAGGGCCCACATCAAGACTACTTGCTGGCGAGGTTGTGGAGAAACTGGAACCCTGGTTCACTGTTGGTGGGAGTGTAAAATGGTGCAACCCCTGTGGAAAGCAGTATGGCGCTTTCTCAAAAAGTTGCAAATAGAGATACCATTTGACCCAGCAATTCCACTACTGGGAATATCCCCTGAAGAGACCATAGCTGACATCCAAGCAGATGTATGCACACCCATGTTTATTGCAGCTTTGTTCACAATAGCAAGGAGTTGGAAACAACCTAAGTGCCCATCAACAAACGAATGGCTAGAGAAGCTGTGGTATATTCGCACAATGGAATACTATGCTGCATTAAAAAACAAGGAACTCATGCAACATTATTCAAAATGGTTGACTCTGGAGAACATTATGCTGAGTGAAATATCCCAGTTACAAAAGGACAAATATTACATGATGCCACTGTTGTAGAATGGGACTGTCCTTGGGGTTGGGGAGAGACTGAGTAAGATGGGTCCAATAATGTATACTGCACTGAAACAGAGGAGGGAGAGAACCGTTTAAAAGAGAGATGTAACTGGGTATTTCTGTCATCACAGGAGACTAGAGCAAGGGCTGCATGGTGGAGGGGACCTGGGGGAGGGTTTGTAAAACAATGAAAGAATCTTTTCTTTTACTTTTCCATAAGTTTTGGACTCATGTACTTATAACTTGTTAGTCAAATTTGTGTCTTCTAGGTTGCAACACCCCCATGATACATCTTCAAGGATACGTACATGTACAGCCAAGCACAATCAATAAGAGTGCATCTGAATTCCAAAATCAATCTCCATAATAGTCTATGTGTTTCCTACTGCCAAAGGGGCCCTTTAGAGTAGTGAGAGAAGATCTTCACCCTGAAACCCACAGCGTCCCTTTTCAGCAGGAAGTAGCTAAGAGAATACGCCGTCCCCTTTTCCTTATGACTCAGGGTGAAGTCTCTCTCAGGGAGGAGTGATAGGGAATGGCAAAGGATACACTGACAAAGAAGATTAATCAGAACTGGCTTTGACAAGCACTGTGGCATTTGGACAAGAACAAATTGGGAGGAGGGTAGAGAGAATAGTGCAACAATGAATGAGTGGAAGCCCAAAATCTCTGTAAATGTTTATGAAAATTAATAAAATATAATTATAGAAAAAAAAAAAAAGACTACTTCAAGCAAGTCAGACAAGAGCTCTTTTAGGTGCCACTAAAATTGCTTTAAGACTGCGCAAGAGTTCTTTTATGAGGCATTAAGTTGATGTCTCTGAGTTGTGGTGCTGGAGAAGAGCACTGAATATCCCACAGACTGTCAAGAAAACAAGCATATCTTGGAAAAAGCACAGCCAAAGTGCTCCTTGGAGGCTAGGATGGTGAAACTTTATCTCATGTATTTCGAGCATGTTGTTAGAAGAGGCTATTCCTTGGAAAGGAATAAGGTCTTCACCTAAAGAAAGGAAGACCCTCAGGCTCAAGTGTGTTAGAGATGGTGAGAATGGCAAAGGTAAGGTCATGGTTCAGATCTACTGCTCATAGGGCCACTGTGAATCATACTTGGCTTGATGGCATTTGACAACAAGAAAAAGATTGCTATACACTCCCTGTTGCTGTATAGGGAGGCACCAATCTTCCTGTTGTGCCTCAAGCCAGTTCAATTCTCTGAATGATCAAGGGAGACTGAAGCCAGGAGACTGACCTCACAATCACTACAGGGGTTCCTATCATCAGATACAAAAGTGGTTAAGATATATACAGAAAAAATGAAAACTAAAATAGCTTTTGAGTCTAAAAATATAAAAGAAATATTACTTTAAAAAATTGTTTTGTCTGTTAGGAGTTATTAATTTAGTCACAGCAACTCCACGTGACAGAACAGAAAACAGAACTATTTAAAAACTCACTCAGAAGCAAAAAACCAAAAACCAAACCATCATACAGTACCTATAGCACACGGCAAAATGGGCATATGCAGCTACAATCCAGTTGTGATGGCCAGCTACTATTAGCACCTTTCGTGGATCCACAGGAAAGCCTATCAAAAGAGAGACACTCTTGTGTTTTAAAGTAAGGATCAACAAGTTAGGGCCTATGAACCAATTTCAATCCTTTCCCCATTTTAAAAAATAAAATCTTACTGGAATACAGCCATATTCACTTGTTTACATATTGTTTATGGCTACTGTGGTATAATGCAGATTTAAGTTAATTGTGACAAAATTGCTATGACAAAGGCTATGCTATTTACTAACTTATTTATGACAGAAAAATTTTTGCCAACCTCTGTTCTAGTGATTCAGAGCATCAAAATATAAATTATATACATTTAAATTAAAATTGCATGTAGATAGGTTTCAAAATATAAATGAGAGATTTGGGCTTAAAGTTTTTTAAAAAGCAAAAGTCACTTCTTTAAGCAAACATATCCAATATTCTCTAGCAGTAAAAGAAAACCTATTTTCTTTACCTATTTACGTCATCAATGCTTACCGAGACGAACAGTCTCTTCTCCAGTTCCAGAGAGAATAGGCTGGGTACCATTTGCCCGAGCTTCACCTTCTGCAGAATTTAGTCCATTTCGAGAATCAGCAGAAGATCTGACCGTGTTGTTTATTTTACGAGTGGGAATACCTGCAAAATAGAAAAATAATGCATTTTACTTTTAGGTTCATTGGTCTAAAAGAAAAAAAAAAAACTTCAAATTTTAACAATAGCCAAAACATTTCTACAAATTTAATTAAGATAGAAGAAAAATTAAAATCATTCAACAGATTTCAGGTAGCCTAATGAATAAGGAGTTGGGCTGTCAACCAAAAGGCAGGCATTTAGAATCCACTAGCTGGACAATGTCAGATGGGTCTTGGTAGAAAGCAAAGAGTACCAGAGGAATGTCTATCAGTGTTTCATTGACTATCAAAAGGCATTGGCTATGTGAATCATAACAAATTGTTGCTAACCTTCAGGAGAATGGAAATCCCAGAACACCTGACTGTGCTCATGTGAAACCTATTCTCGGACCAGGAAGCAGCCCTCAGAACAGAGCAAGGAAACACTGCATGGTTCAAAATCAATAAAGTGTCAGGGATGCTTCCTATTCTCTATAACTTTTCAATTTATATGCAAAACAGATCATTCAGGAAGCAAGGCTTTACGAGAAGGAATGTGGCATCAGGATTAGAGGACGACTCATCAACAACCTAGGTAATGCAAATGACACAAACTGAGGAGGACTTGAAGCATTTGCTGTAAGTGGTCAAGGACT